GAACCAAGCATTTGAACAGCAATTCTTAAGGCTATGTGTATAGCCTTTTTAAAGTTTTTTATATATGTGCATATAGGTATTTTTTAGTTCATTTTATATTCTGATAACATTTTTGTTATAAATATGCATTAAAATATCTTTTCCCCCTTTTCAATGTGTTTACTTACTTTATTAATGTTGTCAGCCTATCAATTTCAAAAAAAGAATCCTTTGGGGATTTTAAGTGGATTGCATGGAAGCTACATGTCAATTTTCAGAAAATTTAAATTATAACAATATTGAGTATTCTGCTCTGTGAACATGCAAAACTCTCTATTTACTGAAATCTTCTTTAATTGACAGTAGATATTTTATATATTGACATACTATCCAAAGACTTGGCTGAGTTATTGGTTTTATTGGTTTAGTTGTAGATTGCCTAAAAATTTAGGTACACAATGCATTATTAGCAATACAGATATATTTCTTTCTTTCCAAAATTGTACCTTTTACTTCTTTGTGTTGCTTTATTGTATTTTCTAAGATCTTCCGTAAAATTTTGAATAGAAATGGTGCTAGTGGACATCTATGTGTTTTTCTAATCTAATTGATACATTATTCAATAATGGATTACTGAGTATGATGTTTGCAGCAGGATGTTTTCAGGTACTTCATTAGACTAAGGAATTTCTCCTTTGTTTTTGACTTACTGAGAATTTTTGCTAGGAATAGCTGTTGACTGTCTTCAACTGAGTTTAGCATCTATTGAGATAGTTGTATAGTTTTTCTTTGGTATTCTGTCACCATGATGAATTATATAGATTGATTTTTTTTTTTTTTACATTAAAGTAAACTTGCATTCCTGGAATATATTCTACATGGTTGTAATGACTTAGTGTACATCCATATAAATTACATATAGATATAATATTGATTATATATTGTATATTGACACGGTCTCCAGTCACTGTGTCTTTGGCTCCAGGGGAAAGAGCCACTATCACCTGCAGAGCCAGAGTGTTAGCAGCTACTTAGCCTGGTACCAGCAGAAACCATGCATAGTTCTGTGGATGGATTTAATTTTCTCTCTTCTTAAAATTACATTTCATGCCTATATTCATAAGAGATACTGGTTTTTAATTTCATATTTGTAATGTTCCTATCACTTTTTGGTATTGAGATTACCCTGAGCTTATATAATAATTTTGGAGGTATTTTCCTTTTTTCATTATCTTGAAATTTGTTTAATTTTGATATGGCGTATTACTTAAACACTTGGTATAATTAACCAGTCCATTATATATGTGACAGGAGTTTATTCCAGATTCATTATTACTGTGTCAAATAACGTGCCATAAAATTTAATATCTCCCTTTTATTTTTTTACTTTCATAGGCTCTGTAATGATTTCTTCCTTTTCATTTCTGATAATGTATTTTGTGTCTTTTTTTCTGTCTCTTTTTTTGTCCCCCTTCTTGGATAGCCATAGGCTTCAATTCCTTTTTTGGTGGCTGTTTGGTGCTGTGATGTATTGGTTAATCTAAGTATGGGACTATTTACAGTTTTTATATGTAACACTTTGGAAAGTGTTATGACATCAACCTCCCTTTCACCAAACTGTAATCTGTTGAAGCACTATTGTCGTATTGGACCGAGTGTAGAAAGTTATCACCAAGACAAAAGTGTGCCAGATTGCAGGGTCATTTATTATGCCGGCGACCACAGAGGACTCACGTCTCTCCAACCTGTGGTGCCAAAAGGAGGGTGCCACGATTTTTTATACCCGAAAAACCACCTTGGGAGTGGGGGTGAGGGGCGGGGATGGGGATGAAAAGCTTTCGGACATTCCAAGGGCTAGGGGATTCTGTGATTCACCTCCTGGGTGGAGACAAGGGCGGGGGTCTCCGGACATTCCAAGGGCCAGGGGACTTTTGTCATTCTGTTTGTTACTTCAGTGGTTTACAGAAGTCAAGATATACATTTGTTTACACATCGTCTGGGTGGTGATAGAAGTCACAGATTTTAGCAGTTACTGATAAGAAAAGGTAAGCAGCTTTACATAGTTTTGCAGAACAAACTAGCAGTTCTATTTACAGAGGCCAAGGACAGTAGTTATTGTGAGGAGAATGGGGCAGCCATTTCAACTTATTTAAAAAACAGTTTTGCTCAGGTTCTGGCTCTAGGCCAGCACAATATCATATTCCCCCCTGTTCTTTTAACATGTATTAAGTCTTTAATAGGTTTCCTCTTTTTGACACAAGGGCCCATATTTGGATCTCAGAACCATCAATTTGACCGAATCTATTTCTTCCTGGATAAATTTGAGGAGCATGTTTAAAAGGCATGGTCCAAATGTTAACCCTAGGACCATTAGCACCAAGGGTCCTGCTAATCCAGTGAGCAGGAATGTTAGCCAGGGGTTTACGGGAGGGTCTCGGGTAAGAAAAATGAAAGAGTTTCTGTTTGCAGTATATCCTGTTATAGTGGAGATAGTTTCACAACCCCAATGGGGGCAAAAGAATTCATTTAAGTCTCCACAATTCCGTTTTTTTGGCGGGGTGGATTCTGGGCACAGATATAACCCCATGGTCTGGAGTTGTCGCTCTGCCCCTAAACTGCCACACCCAGCTATACCTCCATTTGTCCTGAAATTTAAGTGGGGGCCCAGGAGGGCACAGAGGTCCAGGGAGAAGGTAGTGGGGGTCTCCGGAGTGTACTCCAGGTTTAGGTTGACTAGGGTGGATCCCTTTCCGGTTAAGGAACTAACATATGCTCCAGTGGAGCCCTCAGTGATGACCCATCGATAGTAGGTGGGTGCCAAGGAGGGTCCCTTTCAGAGGGTGGTTGCAGGAATCAGGGAGATTAGGATGATGACTGAGAACGGCGCAATAGTCTTAGCTTTAGGAGGTCCGTTGAGGATGGAACCGCTTCCCATCCTGCATCTGGGCGGTCAGTCTTGACGTGTGAGTGGTGAATCCAGGCAGTCAGTCCGTCCACCTTGATTGCCGTGGGGGTGACCAGGATTACAGTGTAGGGTCCTTTCCAGCGAGGAGTTAGGCCAGAGGTAGTGACTCTCTTCACCAGGACTTCATCCCCTGGCTGGAAGGGGTGTACCGGCTGGTCAGTGAAATCCACTAGGGTAGGTCGAGTTCCCCTGATGAGCAAGTGCACCTGGGACTGAACAGACTGGAGTGCCTGCAAGGACTTAGGGAGTGTATGGTTATGGACTCCAGCATGTATGGCGTTCACAAGTCTGGGGAGTAAGGGAGGGGGACTTCCAAACATAATTTCAAAAGGAGTAAAGCTTTTTCATAGGGAGTACATGGGGTACGGAGGAGAACAAAAGGAAGCAGGCTGACCCAGTTTTCACCGGTCTCCAGAATGAATTTTGTCAAAGTTTCCTTTATGGTCCGGTTCATCCTTTCAACCTGCCCTGAACTCTGGGGGCGATAGGCACAGTGCAGTTTCCAGGATGTGCCCAGGGCCTTGGCCAGGCCCTGTGAAACCTGAGCTGTAAATGCAGGGCCATTATCTGATCCCAGTGTCAGGGGCAAGCCGAACCGAGGAACCAGGTCCTGTAACAATTTTTTCGCTACTACCAGTGCGGTTTCTGACCTAGTAGGAAAAGCCTCGACCCATCCAGAGAAAGTGTCTACAAACACAAGGAGGTACTTATAGCCGCACGCTGGGGGCTTTATTTCAGTAAAATCTACCTCCCAGTGTTCCCCTGGGCTAGTACCCCTGAGTCTTATTCCTGCCTGACTAGGCCTACTGCCTCCTGGATTTACCCTGGCACAAACTTCACAACGAGTAGTAGTTTCCCTAACAATCTCATGTAAGTGCGGAATGTAATATCTGGCCCTCAGCAGCTCGGTGAGTTTTGTTTGTCCTAAGTGAGTGGCCTGGTGTGTGTGCTTAACTAGAGCCCGTCCTAGGCCTCGGGGAGCACAATCCTTGTGTCCAGTAGAATCCACCATCCTGTGGAATCTTGCCATTCCCCCTGTTCTTTGGCAAAGTTTTCTTCCTCAGGTGAGTACGTAGGGGTAGGAGGCAAGGTTGGGGCCGGCAGAGTCACAAGAAGAGTCAGAGGTTTTACTGGCCCCACGGCTGCCAATCTGGCCTGTAGGTCAGCTGCCCTATTTCCCCTTGCCTCTGGTGAATCTCCCTTCCGGTGTCCTTTGCAGTGCATCAATGCCACTGCCTTAGGCTTCCATATAGCTTCTAGTAGAGCTCGGATTTCCTCTTTGTTTTTGATGATTTTTCCCTTTGAGGTAAGCAACCCTCTTTCTTTATAAATGGCACCATGCACATGGGCCATAGCAAAAGCATACCAGCTATCCATGTAGATGTTAACCATTTTTCCCTCCGCCCAGTCCAAGGACTTTATTAAAGCTATAAGTTCAGCCTTTTGGGCTGAGGTTCCATGTGAAAGAGCCTGGGCCCAGATAACCCGCTCTAGAGTGACCACAGCTGCCCCAGTGTACCTGACTCCGTCGACCATGAAACTGCTGCCATCTGTATATAGTACCTCCTCTGGGTTCTGCAGGGGGACGTCGGTGAGATCCGGTCGTGCAGCATGGAGGACATCTATTGTCTGTTGGCAGTCATGTATGGGCTTCTCTGGCTCGCTGTCGGGTAGCAGTGTGGTGGGGTTTAAAACTGTGGTTTTTGAAAATTTTATGCAGGGCTGGTCCAAAAGTAAGGCCTGGTATTGGGCTATGTGGGCATTAGACATCCATTTTCCCGTAGATCCACGGAGTAGCAACTCCACTGCGTGGGGTGCCACTAAGTTCAACTCCTGCCCCAAGATCAGTTTGTTCGCCTCCCTGACTAACAGGGCCTTAGCTGCCACTGACCTCAAACAAGCTGGCCACCCAGAGGCTAAGGGATCAAGTCTTTTTGAAAGGTAGGCAACTGGCCGGGACCAGGGTCCCAATGTCCGGGTGAGCATCCCCTTAGCGACTCCCTGTTTTGTATGCACAAACAACTGGAAAGGTTTAGAGATGTCTGGCAAGGCCAAGGCTGGGGCTGCAGTCAGGGCAATCTTGAGCTTGTCAAAAGCCTGTTGCTCCACCTCTGTCCATATCAAGGGCTGATTTCCTCCAGCACAGGCATACAGGGGCTTGGCTATCTCAGCAAATCCCAAAATCCATAGCCTGCAGTACTCTACTGCCCCAAGGAATTCTTGAACTTGGCATTTTGTGGTGGATTGGGTATTTGCAGCACTGCTTGGACTCGGCTGGGTGCCAGTGCCCGGTTGCCCTTCTCTATAACATAGCCCAGGTAAGTCACTTTTGGCTGGCAGAGTTGGACCTTTTTAGCTGAGACCTGGTACCCCAAAGTCTGTAGGGTTTTTTCAATAATGACTGGGTGGTCTCTTTACAGGCCTCCTGGGTTTTTGTAGCCAAGAGTAAGTCATCCACGTATTGGAGTCGGGTACACTCTGGGAACTCAGCTCGGAAGGCAGCAAGGTCTTGGCTAAGTGCCTCATCAAACAGAGTGGGGGAGTTTTTGAACCCCTGAGGCAGTTTTCTCCGAGTGAGTTGCCCCGAAACTCCAGTATCAGGGTCGGTCCATTCAGGTCCTTTGTAATGACATGGATGAACCTGGAAACCATCATTATCAGCAAACTGACAGAAGAGCAGAGGATCAAACACCGCATGTTCTCACTCATAGGCGGGTGTTGAACAACGAGAACACATGGACACAGGGAGGGGAGCACTCCACACTGGGGTCAGTTGGGGGGAAATAGGGGAGGGAGGGTGGGGGTTAGGAAGCTGGGGAGGGATGGCAGGGGGAGAAATGCCAGATGTAGGTGATGGGGAGGAAGGCAGCAAATCACACTGCCATGTGTGTTCCTATGCAACAATTTTGCATGTTCTTCACATGTACCCCAAAACCGAAAATGCAATAAAATAAATAAACGGGGGAAAAAAAAAACAACAAAAAACAAAAGCAAATATAGGCTGGCTACCAGGGGCTAATGGGATGCAAAAGAATGCATCCTTAAGATCCAAGACAGTGTAATGGTGTTCTGGGTCCAAGAGACTTAGGAGGGTGTACGGATTTGGAACTGTAGGATGAACAGTTTCTACCTGTTTATTCACCTCCCTCAAGTCCTGCACAGGCCGATAGTCCTGTGTGCCTGGTTTTAGCACAGGGAGCAAGGGGGTGTTCCAGGGAGACTTACAGGTAGTGAGGATTCCTCCCTTCAGGAGTCTGGTGATGTGCGGAGCAATTCCTTGCCTGGCTTCCTGGCTCATAGGGTATTGCTTCACCTGGATGCAGTTGCCGTTGCTAATAGCTGGACCACTACTGGGGTGCGGTGACTTGCCACCCCTTGGGGACTTGTTTCAGCCCATACTCCCGGTACATTCTCTTGAAATTTGCGGAGGAAGTCTGGTGCAGGTGGTTGATCTGCCTCCAAGGATAAAGCTTCCTGCAAGAGATACTCGTCTGACAGAGCACAGGTGATGAGGATCTGCTGAGGTGGCCCTGTGGCTAAAGGAGGAGGAATTGAGAGGCAAGCTTGACCCTCTCTGAAAGAAATATTTGCTTGCAGTTTGTGGAGCAAGTCCCGTCACAGGAGTGGATATGGACACTCAGGGAATGGGTGACAGTGCCATTTCCCAGATCAACGAATCGATTTGTGGTCCAGAGGCTAGCTGTGGTTTTTCCTGGAGTGCTGCTGTCACGGCCTTAGTAACTCTTTTATTTTGCTTGGCCTCTAAGGTGTCTTTATTGTTAAAGACTTTTTGGGCAATTTTTAACAACTGAGTTAAATTTATTCTCTGGAACCTCTCTAATTTTTGCAAATTTTTTTTTTTTGATGTCTGGGGCAGACTGGGAAACAAAAGCCAGATTGATGGCCCGCTGATTCTCCAGGCCTCAGGGTAACAGGCGTCCAGTAAGCGCTCAAGGAAAGCAGCTAGCAACTCCTGTGGACCCTGAGTTACAGTCCCTACCTCGGAGAGTTTACTGGGCTTGTGGGCCACTCCCCTAACCCCTTCTATAAGATACCGGTGAAAAGTGTTCAGAGCCTGGTGACCCCCCCTCCAAGGTGTTGAGGTCCCATTGGGGTCAGGTAGAGGGAAAAAAAAAACTTTTTCCTCGCCCTGGACCTATGATGGCTTTCAGGGCTTCCTGTCTAATTTTGCCTTTTTCCTCTGTGGTGAACAGAATTAGTAATAATTGTTGGCAGTTGTCCCAAGTGGGGCGATGCATCTGGAATACAGATTTTTAGAGTCCTGTCAAAGCCTGGGGCTTCTCAGAGAAGGGGGGATGTTGAGTTTCATTGTAAAACCTTGGCAACATCACCGCCTTAAATTCCCCGGCCTCCCAGCACTACCCCCTCCCAGGGAACTTTCCATCTGGGCAGGTACCTAACCCTCCCCCTCTTGCCGTCTTAGCAGTTCTCCAGTACAACCCCCTCCCGGGAACTCTTAGCAGTTCCCCAGCATTTCCCTCCTGCACAGCACCTCACACTGGCTGCATCTCTGCTGGCTTGCAGGCCATTGAAATCCCCTTTGCCATGCCATGGATGCTGCCAATTTTGGGTTTAGCCCAGCAGCTTTCTCTTGCTCTTAAAGCTTGTGCCAGCACTTGGTGTTTTTGGCCCTCTTTTTGATCTCTATCACCTTCCAGTTATATAAGTTACTTGACAAGAAGGGGATGTGAACAAAGAATGGGCGACCCCAATTGTCTTCTGTTGGGGGTGCCTCTTGGAAAGGGAGGACTGCCGGTGGGTGTGGGGACCCCACTACGGGTGTGCGGGGGGACAAGGTTTGGTTAATAGTACTGTCGAGGGGGGTGCTGAGGCGCTGGTTTAGAGGGCCTTGAGTAGGGTGGAAGTAATTCCTGATCCTCCGCTGGGGTAGGGAGAATGGTTGGCTCAGAAGGGACTTTCTTTTGGGCTGGCTAACGTGACCTGAAGTCTAGCCTGTTTTATGCAGCACTTTAGCCATGGGGGAGGCCATTGGACTAAACCCAACCATTGGTCGATGTATGGAAACTGCTCAGGGTATCCAGGAGTTTTTGCAACCATTTTCCATACAGCCTGGATAATTTTTGGGTCATAGGTCCCAGTATTTGGCCACCTAATTCCAAAAGACGGCCATTCAAGTTCACACAAAGAGCGGAGTTTTCCAGGGGTTAATTTCACCCCATATTGGCCTGAGAACCCAACCTTGAAGTTGGCCGTCATGCATTGGAGGGGGTTACAAGGTGGGGAGCTAGACGACCCCATTTGTGGGTTTTTTTGTTTTTTTATGCCAAATTTTCCTCAAGAGAATTCACTAATTTAAAACTGATTTCCCTAATTTAAAATTAGCTTCACTGAGGATTTAAACCAACAACCTTGCAGTTGCAGGCCCCACACCTTAACGACTATGCTAACAAGTCACTTTTGTTACAGAAAGTTAGAAAGCTTTTCTTAAAGCCAGATTCTTAATGCAAATGCTGCACCCTGAGGCAGTGTGGCCTGCCTCAAAGCTGGGCGGTGCTGACTGCCGGCAGAGAAAGGAAAAAAAAACGCTCTTAGTGTCAGTTTAAAACTGAACTTGCTGGCGGCAAGTTTTCCGCCCCTGAGGCTTCTGGTCCCCTTCTCTCTCTCTCCTCTGTCTACTTTCTCTCCTCTCTTTCTCTTTCCTCTCTCCTCTGTCTACTTTCTCTCTCCTGTCTCCTTTCTCTCCTCTCTTCTCTCCTCTATCTACTTTCTCTCTCCCTTTCTCTTTTCTCTCTCCTCTGTCTACTTTCTCTCTCCTCTCTTTCTCTTTCCTCTCTCCTCTATCTACTTTCTCTCTCCTGTCTCCTTTCTCTCTTCTCTTTCTCTTTCCTCTCTTTCTGTAGTAAAGCCAATTTTGGAAAGCCTCAAATTTAAAATTTGGCCCTCTTTAAAGCAGGTTTTAGCAGGGCCTCTGCAGCCAGGTCCTGTAAGGACCAGACAACTGGATTTTAGGGTTTACTCCTAGTCCTAGTCAGAGGAACAGGGGGTAGGGGCCAAGGTAAGGCGGCGGTCTTTTTTTCCCGCAAACCACAACTGGCGAGAATAAGCACTATGGAGGTTTAGCGCTGCCCGGGCATAATCCTCCCCCGTATACATTGTTAATGGCCAGTTGCTTTGGAAAGGTCAGGAAGTGACAAACAGGTGGACAAACAGGTCTACCGGATGTGTGTTTTGGACCCACCACACCTGGTAGAGTGTGCGAAGTGCTGCCAGTCAGTTTTTACTGGGGTGGTGACATCCTACCTCCCAACATCCAGGATAGTGCCAATATGCCTTTCTGTGATGCACCGTTGGGCACTGCCCATAACATTGGACACTTTCCTGGCAGAATAAGCAGTTACCTATTTTCCATCCCAGCCTGAGAAAGAGCACCCGTAAACTCTGATCTAGGGTTTTGTTCCACACAAGCTCTAAAGAAGCTACCTCCAAGGTGTCGAGGGCACAACGGCCTCTCCGACATGGAATCTGACCCAGCACGGGCAAAAGTACTCTTTTCCTGGTGGAGGTGGCTGGGAGAATTTACAGGCCACAATGACCAAAACAAGGAAGAGATTAAAGACAACTAGAGTCAAGACTATCTGCCACATGGCAAAGGAAGAAAGAGTGAGGCCTCAGTGATAGAAGAAGAAGAAGATGAAGAAAGAGAAAAGAGTAATTTTTGCTGGGGTGTAATCATAAAATTTCCCTGCATCCAGTGGTTCGTCAACCTCTGTAAGAAATCTCCTACCTCAAGGGAAGATGGCCTGAACCAGTGTATGTCTGCTAGCAGGAGTCTAATAAAACTGACAAATTTACAGACGAGACAGGACCACATACAAGAGTGACAGACAAAGGGTGGGTGCCCCCCAGATGGGAGACCAGTCAGATGCCTGCCCGGCCACTTTCTCAGAAGAATTTTCAGGGGTGTCTTGGCTAAGGTGTACCCATATAATCCCCGGGCCTGGTCACCTTAGGATGGAAGTCCAAGTAGGACAGCTCTGAGGTGAATCACCGTTACGCCCTACGACGCCCCAGTGGAACTGCAGGTA